AAGTGATTAATTTTATTTTTAACGGCGTTAATTATCAGTGTGTTTTTGTGCAGGCGTATAGTTTTGGAGAAATGGAGGTGTTGAAGGAGAGAGTGTTGGAGTCGTTGCCGTTTGGTGGGAAGCGGTTACTAGAAGAAACAAACGGTAACAGAATTGAGAGATTTGTGCAACGTCTTGTTGCTACTGGAAAGTCTAGTTTACCACCTAGTCCTTGTAAGGTTACGCCGTTAGTTTCTAGCTAACGGTCTTTTTTAGTTGTATTATTTTGACGTGTAAGTTGTAACTTGTATTAAGATCAGGTTTTTTTTAAAACTTGTTTTGGATTAATAAATCTACTATTCCGTAGTACTTGAGTGTAGTGATTTTCAGTATTGTTTTGCTGCTTCCTTTGATTTTGAATTTTTTTTTGTCTTTCATAACTACTACCGTTAATTTATTTTCTTAAATGGGACACGTTTAGATAAATAGTGGTAATTTTTCGGTGATTGTGCTATTGTTAATTTCCTTAAATGGTTGCGTGAATCGTGGAGTTGGAGAACCACCCACGACTGCACTTGTGAGTCGTGTTAAAGAACATTGTTCCGCGCAAAGAGAAACCGGAAGAAGTACTATTCAAGGTCAAGTGTCAACTCTAATTTGAGAATGAGTTACTATTTACGTGCTTATTATTTGCTCACTACGAAGGCCAATAAGAGGTTTAAATAATGGTTGACCATCCGTATCACCAATAATATATCTTTAAAAATAGAGTTTGGTCTAAACTCAAGGGATGAAATTAGATAAAAGTATAAAACTTATTTTTTGCAGGCATAAGTATTTGAGCTTTATTATTCCTATACCACTTTTCTATATCAATATTTTATACCGTATATATTACTCACTATATTTGTACGATAAACATTATTTTTTTAATAAAATAATATTAAATAGTGATTAGTATTCATGAACAGTATATTAATAGTACGTGAGCAATATAATAAACAGTATATGTGAATAGTATTTGTGAATAATATACGAATAATAATATTTAATAATAAAATAAAATTGATTAATAAAATATAAAATATTAATTAATAAAATGATGAATTTGATTAATAAATATTCATATCGGTTAATAAATTACTTAAATTATTAATAGTTATGAAATTATTTAATGAAATTGAAAATGTTGATTAATAAAATTATAAAATTAATTAATTATATAATTTTGTTTCCGTACTCCTTCAATCTAAAAAATAAAATAAAATTTTTTATTTTATTTTATATAATATTTCAGTATTTACTGTATTAATGAACAATGAAATACCATATAGATATATAGAATTGGTGTATGAATAGCATTTTTTTAAGTATTTTTATAAAAGTTGTTGCCCGAGCTTTACCTACTTATATATCACGAGTTGTTTGTTTATTCCTAAAAGCGTTTATGAAAAGATGGAAAACCTTATATGTAACTTTTGGTGGGATAGTAAGGACACTAACTAAAATCCATTGCACCAACAAGAAACAATCCTGTAAAGCTAAAGGTGAAGTAGAGAAGTTTCAGAACCCATAGACCGTTTAATGAGGCAATGCTAGTGAAGTGGGAGTGGAAGATTCATATTTAGGCTTTTATTAATAAAAATAACGAGTGACGGATAAGTTAGTTGATAGTTATGATTAATGATTGATTATTTATAGTTGATGATTGATAGTTTATAGTTGGTAAATTAATTAAAATGTTAGATAAAATTAAGGATGATAATGAGCCGAATCTGAGTAGGGTACTATAGTATCATTCCCTTACGTGAGGTTTGAAAAAATCTCTTACCCGAGCCTAAATCCGTGTGGGCACCAATGTTCATACCCGTATCCATATTTTATGGATATCTAAATACCCATATCAGTGTTCGTTTACCCGCGTTTGTAGTAAAATTAAAACAATTAATTATAAAATATCATATAATTTAAGTTTATTTTAACAATATTACAAAAATTATGGATGTTATTGTTGAATTAAGAAATAAATAAAGACTTTTATTAAAATGTATAATATTTTAATATCGACATATTTTTTTAAAAATTGATAAACGTGCATTTTTATATAATAATATAAACGATATTATATAAATATGTAGTGCGGGTGTGTGGTGAAGTGGATAGTAAGATACATGTGTCCGCGTACCCGCTTTTAATGGGTAATTATCCGTGTCCGCACCCATACTCATTTTGAGAATTTTTACCCTAACTATTATAGATATTTTTTGCCGGTACCCATTGGGTATGGGCCAAATTGTCATCCCTAAATAAAATTAACGGTTCAATTGTATGATAAATTAAAATGATATAAAAACATTTAATACATAATTATTTTATTTTAAATTAAAGTAGATTATAGAGGATAAAAATGAATTTTAGTTAAAATAATAAATATAAGGGATAAATATACGTTACCCCTGTCATTAGGGCGAGTTTTGTTTTTCTCCCTTATTAAATTTTTTTTTAGATTCCCCCTTATAAAACACAGATTCCATTTCCACACACCCATATTCTCATGTTTAATTGACTGGGCATGGAATAATCCTTGCTGACATATGTTGACTTGATGACATGTATTAATTATATTTATGTTAATGTTATATTAGGGTTCATGTTCTCCCAGACATTCTTCAATTATTCGATTTTCTTCATCTTCCCACTGTTAATGTTTTTCCTCATTTTCTCACCATCCACGATTTTCTTCATCTTCTCACCCAAATTCGATTATTGCATATACACGCTAGCATGGTTGGAAGCAAATCGGTTGGAAGCAGCAGTACATGAAATAATACCTTTCCAACTATACCTAAATGCGGTTGTGATCGTGCTATGAAGATGTGGGTATCACAGCTCAAAACTGTAACCGGAAGTTCTGGAAATGTCGCAATGTTGGGGTAAGTTTTGTTGTTGGATTTTCAGATCTTGCATATCTTGTTTAGGGTAATTTTTATTGCATATCTTGTTTAGGGTAAGTTTTATTGCATATCTTGTTTAGCCAGATTTTGCTAAAATTCGTCTAATTTGTTTACCCATATCGTGTAATTTATTTATGCTAAATGGGAATAATTGTGACTTGTTTCTATAGGATGATGAATTTGGTGATTTAGTGAAATGGAATAGTAATATTCATGCGTTTTGTCAAATGTGCACCAAGGCAGAAGTGAAATTAGAAACTGCTTTGAAGAAGTTAGAAAAAACAAAGGTGAAGGCTGAAGTTCAGAGGAAAATAAATGTTAAGTTGAAGGTGACAATTGTTATGTCTTGGTTGATTTTTGCATTGTTGTACAACTTAATGTAATGTTATGTGATTTTTATGTATGTTCAACTTAATGTAATGTTTCTGTCAAACAATTGCTTTGTTGTATTGTTTAACTTAATGTAATGTTTCTGTAAAACAATTGCTTTGTTGATCATTGTTGCTGAATTAATGAAAATCTTAAAGTTACTGTCTTTACCAAATAGTCATTACCAAATAATCATTACTAAATAGCACCAAAAATATGCAATTGTCATTACATCATAGCACCAAAATTGTGCATTAAATTACATCATAAGTGTGAAATTATCATTACAAAATAATGCACTAAAAGTGTGCAATTGTCGTTACAAAATAATGCATCAAAAGTGTGCATTACAAAATACCACTAACAGTCAAGTCATTACTAAAGTTTATTAATGATTTCTTCTTAGTCTTCTTTGGAGCCTTCCTTGCACTTTGAGAGCCTTTACAGTCTTGAGTCAGAATTCCTTCTTCTTCTTCACTCAAACACATTGGCTGGTCTTTGAAATCTGGCCCAATGATTGTATTTTGAAACCATCTAAGTTTTATTCTCTCACTTTTCCTCTTTCACATTGGTTTGGTATCTTGTATAACCTTAGCCTTGCCTTTCTTGATCATACTTGGCACACTGTTTACATCTGTTGTTTGTAGAGTTGTATTAATATCAGGTATAGTCGATATCATTTCATCAGTAATGTCTCCAAACAATTTTGATGCATTTGCAATTGTGCCTACTGCATTTGCAGTTGTGCCTGCTGCATTTACAGTTATGTCTGATGCATTTACAGTTGTGCCTGCTGCATTTGCAGTTGTGACTGCTTCATTTGCAGTTGTGTCTGCTGCATTTACACCAGAACTCATCTTCTTCTGCAATAAAGAATGAAGCTAACATACATTAGAAGCAGCAAAAAAATTTCAAAACACAAACTATGGACAAATAAATAACAATACCTTTCTCTTCAAGGCATTTAGATCTTGTTTCTTGATCTTGCATGACTTCACATTGTGTCCAATCTTATCATACTTAGTGCACCTATAAGATACACCAGGTAGCCTTCTTCTAGCACCTTCCTCACCAGATTCCCTAATTCTTAAATTTATGGGCCTTTTAGAAGATTTTTTGCATCGTGACATCAATTCCTTCTAATCCATCTGCAATAGCAGTAGTCCTTTCATCCTCGTTGTCATTCAACCCTTCAACTCCATCTTCATCACTTACATCTAACCTAGAAACCTCATTCACACACCTAGGCCTACTACCAGTTACTTCTATACCACGTACATCATGTTCCACAAACATGTCCCCATCGACTTTCATAGCGCAAGCATAAGCAAAGAAATCATAAGCATCACAATCATTCTTAATTTGAAAAAAAATCTTCATCTATGTCAGTGATTTTCGTCCATATTCTGTACGACCCATCTGGGTAACCCCACCCATTAACTAGACTAAGAATGTGACTCATAGTCCAGTTTTCAATGTCTTGCCTATAAACTATTGTTGAAAGATCATCCTTGTATATGGTTCCACCATCAACCAACCTTACAAACTCACCTCCATGGTGGAAGACAACATTAAAGAGTTAAAGTATCTAAAATCAAAGACGAAAATATTTTGCACATGCATGTTCGACTCAAGCAGCATAAATAGATATTCAAACTAACCTGAGTCAAATCGCCAGCGTCTCTACTGTTTCCAGCCATGTCTTCGTCTTCTTCGACGGGGCTCTTCTTTTTCATGTCGCTTATGGTCCCAAATGTGAACCCTAACATTCACGGGAGGTAAATAGGAAAGGATAACACACTTATATGATTTATGTTTTAATTTTTATTTAAATATGACTTGACAACTAATTTAATACATGTCATCAAATCAATATATGCCAACAAGGATTATTCTATGCCCAGTCAACAAAACATGAAAAGAGTTGTGTGTGAAAATGGAATATGTGTTTTATAAGGGGGAATCTAAATAAATTAATAGGGAGAAAAAACAAAACCCATCTTAATGGAATGGGGTAACATATATTTATCCCTAAATATAAAATTAGAAATAAATGTGATAAGCTATAAATTAAAAGCTAATATTTTAACTAATATGATAAGTTATAAATGATAAGTTATATATTATAACCAAATTTCACTTTTTAAGATTAATTGAATAATTAATGTATCTGATCTATATATAGACTAAATACATTAACTATTCAATGAATTTAAAAAGTAAAATTTTCTTATAACATGAAACGAAGGGAGTAATTAATAGGTCATAGACCAGATTCATACCTTAAAATTTTATTACGGGGGCAGACTCGAATTTTCTAAAACTTAATCTAACCCAACTTATTTTCATCCTTACTTGTCATGAAAACCTTTTCAATATCCATGTAAGTTTTCACTGAGTTTTAGTGGGAGAGAAGAATGTCATAGAAATGGTGTTCATGTTAATGATAAAGGCAACAATTTTATTTTGTAGAGTTTTTTCTAATTTACCTCATCGTACTACACTAAACTTTTAAATATTCTCCATAGTTAACTTGTCATCTTCTTCAAAAAAGGTAGCAAAATTTATAGTCAATAACTTCAGGGAAGAGTCACTATTACAAAATACGCATATGATAATGTTCAAGTCATTACAGTTCTTCTAAATATTATGGTGATATTTCTAAATTCAGGCGCTAACATTTTTTTAATTAAAAATTGTTAGGATATAATAACGATTGATGACCTCAGCGTGGTGATATAATCAAGTTTTTATGGGTTTGAATCTCAACACCCTCAAATATTTTATTCTTTTAACGTTAATACGTGCATTTTATTTTTTATTTATTTTTAAAATAAAAAATAAAATGGATATCACTATGGTTGTTTTGTTCAACCGTTGTGATATATTTTATTTTTTATTTAAAATTTTTAAATGGTTAAACACTAACGCTTCTTTATGAAATTTTATTATGAAAATAATATATCATCATGGTTTATAATATTAACCATTGTGGTATCTTTATAAATATTTTACACTTCTAGCTACCTTGTCTTTTCAGTATCCATTTTTTCACTGAAAAAAGAAATAAGATGAAATAACCCTAACATTCAATACTGTGAATTAATACACGATTGCAACCCTAACATCATCGTTCACTATTTATCTTTCCTTATTTTTCACTGTGTTCATTGTGTATTTTTCATTTTTGTCAACATCGTCGAGGAGGAAGACAACACCAACACCGCTGTCATTGTCGGGAAGAAAGACAACACCAACACCAACACAATATTCTCCTTTACTTAGTAATCACATTTATGGTACATAAAATATTTTCTCCATGCATCTACAATAAACTTCATTTTCCATTGTTGCGGATGTTATTGTTGTTGTTGTTAATGTGTATGATTAATCTTTTGTTGTTGTTATATGTGAAAGTAATATTAGATGGTTATATTAGATAAAAAGGTTGTTGTTGTTGTTTATGTTGTGGTTGTTGTTTATGTTCTTTTTGTTTTTCTTGTTGTTGTTGTTTATGTTGTTGTTATTGTTTTTGAACATAGATGTCGACATTATCGAATTCTTCATCTACTAGCGAAGAAAGTCATACAAATGATACTTGTTCAAATGATACTCAAATAAAAATATTACAAAGAGGTGTCACAATGATGCCCGAAATCACAAAAGTTTGCAACTCACGTGACAAAATTTCGATTGCGTTTGATTCGTTCTACAAAGTAGTTGATTGTGAATATTACTATACTTTTAAGAGTTATGTTGTATTCCTTGGACGTAGTAAAGTCAGTATATTGATAGATGATTGGATATAAGTGTCAAGTATATCAAAGATAGCATATGGACAGACGTTAAGGTAATAATTTTAATTTTCTTATATTCGATATCACTTTCTATAATTTCTAATACATATTTATTGATTTAAATGTAGTTGATTTTTGAGTTTGTCGATAACAAAAAGTTGAAAAAAAGTGGATCACTTATGCCAGTACTTGTTGGAGGGGCTTTAAGTCACGGTTCACGCTTGACTACATTAGGAAGCCTAAGACTGCTCTTGTTCATCCGCGGATAAGATATAGTTTTATATCAAAGAAGCAATGGAAAAAGTTTGTGAGGGACAATGGTTCTGAGAATTTCAAGGTTAGTACTAGTCTTATTTATCCGATAATTTTATGCTAATGAGTTATAGATACTAATCATATATATTTTTCACTATGTTAATAACAAGTTAAAAGCAAAATAGGAATACAAAACAAAGCAAAAACACATGTACCCCCATAAATTGTCTCGTGGGGGTTACACGAAACTTGAGAAAACAATCATGCTTAAACAAACAACAAATGGGGGATGATCACATCCCATCTCCATCGTCAAGGAATGAAAAGTGGAAGAGGACTCGATTAGGACCAAATGGAGAGTACACCTCAGATGCGTCAAGAGTAGTTGTTGAGAAATTGTAAGTAGGATTTGTTTTTCTTATGTTATTTAAATTCTTTGGTAACAATATATATTATCATGCATGTTGTGTAGGATACGTTGGTTGAGGGGGCCCATGAATGCACATTTGTTCCAGAACCACGACATGATATACTAGTAGAAGTTATCGAAACAAATGAACATGGTGGGCGTGTCTGTGGTGTTGGAGAAGGTGTCAGTATGAGGTCATACTTTGCTTCATCAAGAAAAAAGCACCGAAAGCGTGGAATTACATACATAAAGAGAAAATATTGAGAAGGTTGAGAAGTAGTTAGTAGAACAAAGGAATATGTTAGAAGAGGAGAAGGAAAGACGAAGGAAAGCTATGGAAAAGTTAGAAAAATTAGAAGAGTTATATTCGGTATGTGCTTTATTTGAGATGCTAGTGTTTCATCCGAAATGTATGATATATATTGTGCTTATTCTATTTTATATTTTAATTAAATATTATGATGTAGAGAATAAGTGGAAACATCCAACAACGTACAAATGAAGATGATCATTATGATAATGGTGATGAGGATGATCATTTTCCAAATATAAGTGTTGTACGTCATACTAGTACCAAAGGAAGTAATTGTCCAGTCCCTCCCCCTACAGATAACCGCAATGAGTTATTGGATCCTTCCACAAATGAAATCGACACGTTATACATGAGCGTTGTGGAGGCCGTTGATCTGCAACCTCTTACGCTAGAATATTGTCCAACTGTAGAACTCTTCTATTATCACTACAAGAAAATTGGCAGATTGCGACAGGTATTTTTGTAGATTACGACGGTTAAAACCGTCGCAATTTGCTTTTCACGACGGTTGCTTTACCGTCGCAGAAGTGTGTGTCCCCAACCTATTTCGCGACGGTTACAAAAACTGTCGTTCAAGTTTACGACGGGTTGATACCGTCGTGACTATCTTTTGAGTTTCTTTTAATTATTGATGGCGACGGTTCGATACTGTCGTGAATATCTTTTGAAATTGATTAAATTGTTTATGGCGACGGTTCGATACCGTCATGACTTTTGTTGATTATTTTTAATTGTTGATTACGACGGTTCGGTACTGTCGCCATGACTTTTGTTTATGTCTTGATTTTTTTTTATTTTTCTATTATATATTTTTTTTATTTAAATTATTATCTATGTAAAAAATTTTAAATATAGTTTTTTTTTGTGTTATTTTTTTCTTTAAATTATTTCTTCTTTAATATATTTATTTATAGTATTATTTTTTGTTTTATTTTCTATCACTTTGTAATATAGTAAAAATAATTTCAACAAAAAATATCTAACATCAAATAAGCATTATAATATCCAAAAAAATGTGTGTTCCATAATCATGTAAAATGCGAGTTCCATAATCATGTCAAGTAGTACAAAAAACCCAAAATATATCAATTCCTAATCTTATAATAATAAGTATCATTATGCCAAAAATACATGAGAAAGTTCACAATCTAATTATCTCGATCATAGCAAAGTCTAATTTGTCCCCCCTGAAGTTCCATTATCTCCAATACGGTAGCTAGACTCAGATGAACGTCTACCATCAGCGGGTGATTCCAATCCCTAAAAAAATGTATTAAAATAATAATCTTTAAAATAATACTCATAAAATTTAACTTTAAATGCGTCAAAATAATATACCTGTCTTCCACTAAAATTCTGCATTTGCATTAAGGGTTGCCTTCTACTTTTGATGGTTCGAGTTTTTCTGTGTTTTGGAAGAGGAGGGACGGGGTTTTGGTGACTCGATCAGCTAAAGTGATTCAGTCTGTAGCTGAATATGATGAGAAGTTGACTTATACTTGCTCGGTTTACGGCAGTAGGAGTGGACCTCACCATTCTGCAAAGTATGAAGCGAAGCACTTTTTGCTATATGCTTCTCTTCTCAGTGCACCGGAGCTTGATTTGGGGAAGCACCGAGTTGATCTCACGAGGTTGCTTCCTCTTACTCTGGAGGAGCTTGAGGAGGAGAAGAGCTCGGGTAAGTGGACTACTAGTTTCAGGTTATCAGGAAAGGCTAAGGGTGCTGTGATGAATGTCAGTTTTGGGTATATGGTTGTTGGTGATAACGCCAGCACGACCAAAGATGGTCATAATGCTCCTAATGTATTGACTTAGAGGTAGAGTGGTAGTCTTCCATTGACGAAACCAGATGTTAAACAGAGACAATATGATGGAAGCAGCAGTGTGAGGCGTGCTGGAAGTTTTCACGGTGCTTTACCCGTAGACGCTTCTCAAGGTAAAAACCTTAGCAGACTGTACTCGTCTCAAGCTGTAGAGTCGGTAAAGGATCTTCATGAGGTGTTGCCATCTTCTAAGTCTGCACTAGCCAGCTCAATAGGCGTCTTATATAAGAAATTTGACGAGGAAAAAGAAAGCAGATCGGTGGACAACAAACCTGATCCTGATTTGTCAAAAGAAAATATTGAGCTAATTAAACCAGATGCGTGTGCTTCATCTGATATTGAAAAAGAAATGCAGGAAGTGCATGTAGATAACGATGGAAATACATCTCCAGTGCTTGACACACCTGAACTCGATGTATTTCATGAAAACCTAGAGACAGATAAACAAGATGGCTATCTTTTACTTGATTCTGAAAAAGAAAACCCCGAAGACTGTCAAGATAAGGATTTTTCTGTCGTTGATAAGGGTATAGAAATCTCACCAATTGAACCCGTTAAAGTAGAGGAATCATTCACAGAGGCTTCTGAAGATGCTTCTACAGTTGATAGTTCTCTTATCCTAGATACTGCAGGTTTACAAGTTTCTTCCGAAGATAGTTTTATACATGATTCTCTTCATGAGGCAAATGACGGTTGTAAGGATCACACGGTGGCCGATGAATCTGCTTACGAAGATGATGATTTATTCACAAATGAACTGCTGCAAGAATTAGAAGCTGCTATAAATAGTGTCTCAGATTTGGAGACGGTGGCTCTAGAATCTCCAAAAAAATTGGAATTCAGAACTGAATATAAGATGAGAAAGACAGATAGCTTAGACGATGTTACAGAATCGGTTGCAAATGAATTTTTAAGCATGCTAGACATAGACCATAGTTCAGCGGGCTCAAATTCTGGAAACGAGCCCGAGTCTCCGAGAGAGCTTCTGTTAAGACAATTTGAGAAGGAATCACTGGGTGGTGGCTTCTCTTTATTTGATTTTGATATGGACTGTGACAACGAAGCTGGTGATGACTATGATGCCTCTACTGGATCTGAGCAGTTGAACTCCTTATGGTGAGACACAGCTAGCTAATAAAAATCCTCATCAGTCATCCGGAAAGGCGTGAATAACCTGGCAAATATTTTATCTTGACCAACAAACAAATTGAAATCAAGGGGGGCCTGAAACTCCAGGGAAGAGTTCAGATATTTTATAGAAGACATCCATGACCTGAAACGTAAAGAGAAAGACGGAAATGTAAAATTCAATGTACAAGAGGCTAAAAATGCTTCCAAGAAAGACAAATTGAAGGTATCATAATACCTCCTTATCATTTTGATATTTAGAAATACTCATTGGATTCTGTGAACACTGCAACCAAAACAAGAAGCACTCAGAGATTTGATATGAAATATTAATGAAGTGGTACTTAAAGTAGAACTTACATCCATGATAGCTGCTTGAACTCTAGGATTTTGAAATGCCATGGCAACATCAGGATTGGCCATAATCTTTGAAATGACTTCTTCGGGAGAAAGCCCAATTTGATCTGATGAAAGTGATAATATAAAATGTTAGAAAACAGGAAAGGAGAATGTAGAAAGAATTAAAGAATTGATCCATCTCTCAAAAAAGACATCTCTTGTAAAATGTGAGACATACCAAATTGTTGTTTAACAGCAGGACTATTAAGGTCGAAATTCTTTAAGGTGTCCATCATTCGACTGTCCCATTCAGTGCCTCCAACCATGTTGTTTCTGAAACCAAATATATAGGAGAAAAAGAAAGGATGTGTGAATCCCTAGTGGCCAGAGAATACAGTTTACCAATATATTACTAGAAAATACATTGATTTATATAACTGCAGCACATAGAATGACACTTTAGTGAGAAATAACAAATAATATTTACATTTCTCTGCAACTTTAGGTCTAAAATCAACGTAGTGACCATGAATCCAGTCATAAGTAAACTCAAACAAAAGGTTATTGTACAAAAGCAGAAGAATGGTCATTTAATTTCCTCCAGGACTGGCATTTATCCTAATTCCAAATGTTAGGTTCTGTTAGGTAAAGAATAGGGAGTCAGATTCAGTGTTAACAAATAGCAGCGCCATGGGCGCTATGATGGATATACATGGCGGTTTTTAGGCTCGACGTAATGGTAAGTATCGGCCGATATTGCAGGTTTTTTTGCCATAATCCGCTACAATGGCGCCGCAGAGCGGCCGATATGGCGGGATTTGGCTCTCCGCCATCGACAACACTACTCAGACTTAACTAATAGATTTAACGGAATGGGGGGCTAATAGCCACTTGTACTTCACTGACAAATGAAAGAAATGATGACTTCAGAAAGAGGAAAACTAACTTTCCTTAGTGAATGTTTCCATTCACTAGAAAACTAGTTTTTGTATAATCGTCAGACAAAGCAATGTAAGTAAGCACTTCACCAAAAGCTTAGGGCCTTTTTATTTTATTTCATTTACCAAACCAAAGCACCACCTTTTCACTTAATTTTGTGTTTTCAAAGGTTTGCATATGAAACAGTGAAAATTCTATTGTTTTCATTGCTTCCTATAAGAAACTTTGAAAATAGAAAACAGAGGTAAGACAAGACAACATTTTTGTAATTAAGAGTGAATACATAAAATGTTCCTTAAAAGCAAACAAACCTTTATGTTTACAAATAAAATCACCTAGATACATGGAGAAAGAAAATATCGGTGGACAAAAAAAGGCTTGGAAGATACTAGTACAATAAAAAGAACTTACAACATTTCTTCAAGTCGTTGACGGTACTCAGGATTCTGCAGCATCCCTGCCAAAAGCAGCAACAGTACATCAACTATCCATCGGCCAAATTTATTAACATGTCATGTAGAAATTATCATCTAGCAGTTGAAAGTGACAAACATGATTTTGAGTTTTGATCAGTAGACTTAATTTAACCAACATAAATAGTGCTTCCATTATAAACACATCAACAGATAGATAGATAGAGTTACCTCATAAGCCTTCTCACTGATGTTGTTTCCTGACTATTTGAAGAAGAAATGCTAGCAAAAGTATGCACAGTGACCTTCCCCTGCACTGAATTCCGAGCATGTATTACTTATGAATGCCTCTTCAGACATGAGTGCAAAACATTGAAATACATTCAATTTGCATGGAAATTTTCATTATAACTATGTCGATTCAACTTCAATTTCAATATAATTACATACATTTCATTCAAGTACATCATAACCTAATAACCCTATTTCTGGTAAGCAAAAATCATATTCATAAGATTACCAGATTTTAGATTTTGGTGAGATTTAGAAGCAGCCCTGGTGACATGAGAGGATGAAGAGTTAGCAGAAACGCGAAAAGTCCCAAAAGCGAAAGGCTTTCTTCTTGTGAAGACGTTTTTTGAGGAGGAATGTCCCAGAAGCAGAGGTTTAGGGGAAGAAACAAGGGCTAAGTTAAGATTCTCCATTTCGAAGGTATGAAAACTGAAAATTGACGAAACTGAGAAATTGGTGGTGGTTGTGAGATGAGAAACTGAGCTTCATGATTCTGCAGAGGAATTTCCATCACAGAAACTTTCTTTCCTTCTCTCACCTTCATCTTCATCATTCATCACAGTTCACAGAAAGCCTCCTTCAAACTTCTCTCTGTTGTCTCCCCTTAATTGCTCTGCATCTTTAACCTTCCTTGATTCGTTATCTTCATACACCTTTAATCTTCATCAAAAATCGCAACACCCTCTTCTGCTTCACCAAATTTGCTTCTCATTAAATTCATCACAATCGCAACGACAACAACAACGATCAACATATCTACATCCTCACTCCTCTGTATTAATATCAATAACTTCATCATCACAGAAACCACACTACATCAGCGACTCCATTGCTTCAACTTCTTCCTTAACACATCTATAACAGTCGTACAACATAGAACATCACAACAACATCATTCACAGAGTCACATCGAAAACAACATAAACACATGGAATCGCATGAAAAAGAAGATAGAAGGAGTCGAATAAGAGGATGAATTGAATACAAAGCATATACTTGAACATATTTTTGGATTTCTCGTTGCTATCGCAATCGATGTGGCACCAGGCTATCTCCGGTAGGTAACACTCATCAATCTCTTGATTCATTCCATTAGTGTTTAATGTTTGTTTTTGTTCGGCTAGTTTGGTTGAATCGATGGAGAGATAAGGGAGAAATGAAAACAGAAATGAAGAGAGTGAAACGAAGAGAGTGAGACGAAGTGTGTTGATAGATTTGAAGACGGATCCGCGAAGAGATGAGGTAAAGAAGATGCATTTCGCAGAGACCTTCTATGGTGAAATGGATCGGAGAAGATTGATACGCGGTAGCGAAATGGAGAGGAATGTTCAAAGAATTGGGACCGTCACAAATTCAATCCTGAATTTCTCTCCATACGCTGTGTTTTAATACTCTTCCATATTTTGGCGGAACTGAAGATAGTTGAGAGTGGTCTGTGGCGGAATGAGAGTTTGAGTTTCGGGTTCCTTGTTTGCGGTAGGGATAAGTGAAAAATAGAAATTTATGATTTGGAACTTGGATTGCTAGAGAATATACTAGCAAATAAAATGCAAGGTAAAAAAGTTTTTTAAAATGGGAAAAATGAAACACTGGTCTTTTAAAAATATAAAAAGAAAAACCAAAATCTACTTATCAAAAAACTCCATAAAAGTCCATGTGAGTTACCTCACTTGGATGGGATATTCTTAGATCTTAGTAAATATGAGTGGTTAGGGTGGCTCACGGTGGTAATAAACTTTATTTAGTGATATTTATAATGTTTACGGAGTAGAAAGTGAATTGATGTTTTATGTATTTTAAGAGCTTTTTAACTTTTTTACGGCGACGGGTGTTTTACCGTCGTGCCCATGAGAATTTTTAAAGGTTTTGGGTGCGACGGTTGTTTTACCGTCGTGAAATGAATTTTAGGACGGATAATTTTACCGTCGTGAAAGGTTTAAGGGTGCGACGGGTGCTTTACCGTCGTGATATGCCTTTTAGGACGGTTAATTTTACCGTCGTGACTAGTTGTTGGTGAAAAATCAATGTTAAAAGTGTTAAATGGGGGCCGACGGTTGTTTTACCGTCGTAATAATAATATTATGATGGTTAAATATACCGTCGCAAAATAAATATTAGGGACGGTTGGTGTCAACTGTCGTAAACACTGTCTCTATATGTCAATTACGACAGTTATCACATAACTGTCGCAATTTTTGTGTCGTTAAACACTAATTTTCTTGTAGTGTATCATCCTAAAGATGTAAGGGATTTTATCATTATACATAAGTGGTTGGACGTATGAATATTACAAGTTTGGTGCAGATAAGTATATAATTGAATATGCATTTCATTATAGTACATTATCATTTTTTATATTTCCTCCCTTAGTTTTTTAATTTTGTTTAACCATTTAGGTACATTGACCGTGTTTGTATAGAGTTAAATAAATCAAATATTTATGGAATCTTGGATTCATTTAGTATTCGATAGACAAATAATGATCCAAAAGTAATTCAAGATTACTTGACAAAATAGTTAAATGAGGGAGGAAAAGAATGTTATTTGGCACCATTTATCAATTCGTAAGTAATTTTGTTATTGTTGTTTATCTATTATATATTTAGTTTTGTTTTAGAAAATACTAATTATATATATATATATATATATATATATATATATATATATATATATATATATATATATATATATATATATATATATATATATATATATATATATATATATATATATATATATATATATATATATATATATATATATATATATATATATATATATATATATATATATATATATATATATATATATATATATATATATATATATATATATATATATGCTCCTGTTTATTCAGTGGTCATTGGCAATTGATCATCATATCACTTAGGACGAATACGATAATTACACTGTGTTTCTTACATAAGAATCTCGAAAGTGGCATGAAAGATATTATTAATTGGTAAGTGTATGTTTATATGAAACTTTAAAGTAATATTTTCTTCCACAT